GGAAATATCTATTTTTTATAAAACTTTGATACAGTCCAGCTGCGAAAATCTGTGGTCTCAGTGGTTTTTATTAATGGCAGATTTTTAACCTTCTCAATCACTTTTTTGATTATTGGCTTTTGTACGTTTTCTACCTTCTCTTGGGATCATTTTAGAAACTTAGATTTTGTTAGAGAAGTATATATGTCATCTATGTCTAAGGTTTTCAGATTTGTTGCCACAGAATTGTCTGCAGAAATGATTTTAATCACATATCTAGTTATGTCTCATGTCTCATTCCCACTCCTGCACACGTCCCTCCTTTCTGTTCTCTTAACCAGGCTTCTTGCTCCTCATATTTCATTTGACTTTCAGTCTAGTCCAATGGTTATAGAAAATGTGATCTCTAATGTCTAAATAGTTATAATTTTATGGCAAACTTTTATAGAATATTTCTAATTAAATTATCATAAAACTTTCTGTCAGTTATGAATAGTGAGAAATTCTGTTGTTACCTTGAATCTTCGAATATAGCTGAGTCAGAAGATCTACCTCTATCCAGTGATCGAAACACACTCCCCCAGTTCGGGTCTATTGTGGGGCAGAGAGTGAGACGGCACGAACTCTATTTAATAAAGGGGTGAGGGCAACTATTCGCTGGCAGTGATCAGGAGTGGAAGAGAGCAAGAAAATTCTTGTTTTACTGGCACTGTTATGAGCTGGTGTGGTAATCCTGGAGTCCTGCAGACATAAAGCTGACCCTCAGAGTTTATTTCTTCGGTTCTTCACAAATGTCCATTTCCAGGGAAGAGGCTCTGTTTTGGCTGGTTGATTACTCCTCCTATATCCATTGAGAACCCTTCAGGTCTGGGCCTCGTCAGTGTCTCTCCGTTGAGATCACATTTCTCCTTCAGAGAGTCCTGAGCCTGGCAGGACCTGAGATGATCTTATGCAGGCTCCTTCTCATGCATGGCCCAGGTGTGACATATGTCGAGTGACTCAGGTGTGTTTGCTTTCATAACTTCTAAGGGCAAAAGTTACTCTCTCCCTTCTCTGTCCTTGGCTTCTCTATCAGTTGCTGGCCAGTGACTCATTTTGTGATCTTTAGATTTAACAAGCTGAAGTCAGACATTAGGCTACCATCTCCCCAGTCTGCTGTGGACTTACATTAGATTCTCAATGTTCTCTTCAAAGCCTTTCTCTTTAGATTTGAAGCGAAGAACCAAGCAATCCCCATCCCCTGCCTTTATAGGGTCAACTCACAGAACTGCTATGTCTAAACAATTCCTCTTCTAAATTATAACAATGGTTCAGCCTCAGAAAAATGACCTTACTTAAGCAATTCTGAGCAGAAAGGGGATTAAGTTATCTAATTAGTGCTTAGCAAATTTTGGCAAGGCGGCAGTAGCGGGCCGGAAGGACTGACTTGCAGAACATCACTACAGAAAGGACCCATCAGGCACTGGCCGCTTCCGCCACAATCAGGAAATTTTCAACCAACGCTACCTGCCAGATCATATTCCAGTTCCTGAGGATGCAATGGGGAACAGATCAGACAATAAATTCCTACAACAATTAAATTTTACTTTGGGGAGTAAGGTGTGGATGGGAAGCAGGGACCAAGCAAGGTAAATATATAAAATATGTTAGATGGTGATGATTGCTATGGGGACACAAAGCAAAGGCAGTCTGCAATTTTAAATAGGTTTTTGCAATTGAAATGTTGTTACTTTTCTTAAAATATGGACACATACAAATATATCTGAACACTTTTTGAGTGATTCTTGATATTTTCTGCATGATATTTTACTACCTCCCTGGATGATGCCCACCTTTCTCAGCCAGTCGCTCTGCCAGTAAATGGTGGAGTGAGCACTGGAACTCAGGTTTGGCTATCTCCAAAGCTCACGCACTTCCCACTACATACTATTTTTGTAGTAAAATATAAGTGACTTTTATGTTTGCCACACTTCAGTCCTTCTGTGTTTGTGTGTATATAATTAGGAATTGATATTATTTAGAGAAGTCATTGGGCTTAGCTAGATGGAAGCAAGTATCTGTGTGGCTTCCTAGTCATAAGGCCATTCCTGGAAAGTTCTGACCACCTGCCTTAATGCCTAGTTACTGCTCAGTCTGAGAACATGGGGCCTTGAGTTGGGCCTTGGAAGATACTAACCAAGATTAGCTGCAGATTTGATGAGGTATGTTCAGTGTTATCTGTACTTTCTCCCAGAATTTCTCTAGTTCTGCCAATTTGTATACTGAAATTCTCAGGAGTAACCACCATCCTCAAGAGACTGGATCTTGTCCAGGCCCAGATTCTTGGACTTCTCTGAGTATCTTATGATGGTCCCAGAACCAAACTCTTTTAGCTGCTAAGGACCACCCAGGAGTAGCCCTTAAACTGGAAGTAGACAGATCAAATTTCCCAGAGCTCCTTCAAGCTAAAGTGGGTCACCCAGGACCACACAGAGGCAGGACGGGAGATCTAGTGGAGTTTCCGTTTGGACTCAACTTCCAAAGAATGAGCGATGTCTTCTCCAGCATTGAGAAAACAGGCCAGAAAGGCTAAAGCCTATTCACTCATGGGAAGAGCTTGGATGCAGTGTATCATCCCACCACTTGGCTTCAGTAATGTGCTTGAGTATCAACTGTCCTCATCTGAGGATCACAGCCTACGAATCCTCAATCGTGAATTTTCCCAAGAATGTTGTAAAAGCCATCTCTCCAATCTAGTCTACTCAAAAGATTAAAGAAACCTTAGCTTTGTTTCCTCTCAATTGTCTTTGATTCCTGGTAAATTGAGACTATTTTAATCAAGATTTTTCTGTAAAATTATTAACTAGCTAATTATATAATGCATTACCATTTTTAGAAGAAATGTGTTACATACATGAAAGATATTGACACTGCTTAGAGTTATTTCTGCCCGTAAGTTTTGGGAACACCACAATCAGAAATATCTACAGCATAAAGATTATGAGAGTCAATGCTGTGAACTGACAGTAGTAAATTGGGATTTGCTACACATTTTTTTCCCAAAACCTGATTTTGCTGTCACAGTAGTATAACCTACACTTAGTTGAATGTCTTTGCTTTATGTGAGCAAAAGTAGACAGTGACGAATGAGCATACTGAACCATTCTCTAGCTGAGAATTTTTGACCTTCTGAGTACATATTAGCACTGCCATGTTCTAAGCCTTTCTATTAAATCCCTTGAGCAACCCCAAATTGATACTGTTATTTAAAATAAATTTTTCTTGTGTAAAGAGATACTAGTATAGTTACACTGCAAGTCACCATATGACGTGATCTAAGCACAGGCGTACCTCAGAAAAACCCAGAATTCTGCTTTTTCTTCAACCATCCATCAACCTAATGACTGAGAACATAACACAATTCTATTTACGACATTCCACTTTCCCCCAAAACCAAGGACAAGAGATTTCATCTGAGATAGATAAATTGATGTGCAAGTGATAGTTCTATTGAGAAAAGAGAACATTCGGCTAATTTGTCTATTTCTTGAATAAGAGGAGGGGCTAACCCAAGAGTCATTTGTCAGCCACCATGTGGAATCACTTATGCCAGACTGGGCCATCAATTACATTTGAAAGCATCGCCCTGTACTTTCTAGATTGTAGAAATGAGAAAGAGGGAACAGGGAGACTGTACCTGCTTGATCCAATCCCCTGAGTTCCTCCAACTCTGTTACCACAGATTGTCTGTCATCACCTCCTGGACGTCCACCTACAACTGCACTGCAGCACCAGCATCCAGTTACACACCCACACCAGTGGTTAGCAGATAGACTAAGAAATCCCTCCAATTCAGTCATTCATGTGTCAGCAAGCAGGGAGCCCCACTGCCCTCATTCCCAGAAAACTTCCTTTTGCAGCACTGGAGTGATGGCCAGGCATTTACAAGCCCTTTTCTTTGGCTGACAGTTTTGTGTTTAAACCCTTAATGGAGCATCTGCAACTACTGTTTTATTGAACTAATTTCAAATACAGTCGTGTTTCCAGTAAGCTATGACAGTTTTAAAAGTTTGAAGAGACCAGGAGTTGGAGACAACAGTAGAGCAGATGTGTTTCATTGGGATTTGTTAACATCTTACTAAACTATGTTATAGAGACATTTCAGGAAGCAAGCAGCAGCTCAAGCAACAGCTCCTCTTTAAGCACAAGTAATTACATGTCAAGTGATAAAACAGGAACACGTAAGCCACCAAACCCCCAGTCCAATACGCACTGTCACAGATATATATATAAAATACAAGGTGAATGGGCAAAACACAGTCCTGTGCATGCCACAGATTATTAACTTTAAAGACGATACACTTACTCATTAAAAAAATGAAATACCTACTGAACACCTAGTATATGCCAGACACCACCTTAGGTTCACGGGATTCATCAGTCACTAAGTTTTGTGAGTCCAGGGAGCTTCTGCTCTGGGGGTTGGTGAAACAGACTAAAATTAAGATAACAAATAAGTAAATATCCAACCTAGAGGTAAAAAGTGCAATGAAAAGATGACAAGGTGGAGCAGGGTCAGGGAGCCCCAAAGTCCAGGAACTGGGGAGGCGTGTCAGGTCACAGAATTTGGGTAGTCAGTATACTATTTGACAAAGTGATATTTGAGCAAACACTTGAAGGCTGCAAGGGGATTAGCAATTATTTTTTAAATAATAAATTACCAATATGAAAGTCTAAAAAAATTAATCTTATAAGTTGCACAATCTGATAAACAGAGCTGAAGACTAAAGTCAATTGTCAGAGAACAAGAATGATGGTAAAAATCCACTGCCCTCAAGTACTTCTCAGTTTGCTCCTCCCAGCTGCTGCTTCTCTGTAACTTCCTTCTACCTCACTTCCTGCTTTGCTCTTCTTTTCTTTCCCTGACAAATTCACACGGTTCCTCTGCCTTTATACATGTATTTTTTAAAGCTATATGAATAATTAGGTATATTTCCAATAATACAGTACCATTTTCCCAGGAAAACAACGCACTCACTTACCTTATTCTTGCTAGAGACACTTTTTTCTCCACTCATCTTGTGACCATCAGAATTATAGTAAAGTTGATGTCTCATTTAACCATTTTAATTTTGTTCCTGACACCTTGCCCTAAAGTGAAAAGCCATAAATTGACAACAAAATCCATTCATTTTAAAGGAAAATTATGGGGTATGTTATCCCAATCCAAAATACTTAATTTTTATAGATTGCAATATATGTGTATATTCAAATGAACAATGAAAACATGTTTATATAAATAGCGTGAATAAATATAAACAATAGTGTGGAAGTAAAACAAAGCTGGGACATAATTTGTAAAAAAGTTTATTTTACTCACCAAGGAAGGAAGAGAGTGAATAAGAGTGGCAGTTGGTCCTTATCTTCAGACAGGAATTTGATGTCAAAGTTGGATATGCTGGATATATTAGTTTCTTAGAGCTGCCATAACAAATTATCACAAGCTGGGTGGCTTGAAAGAACAGAAATTTACTCTCTCATCATTCTGAAAGCCAAAAGTCCAAAATCAAGTCCAAAAGCCTTGGCAAGCTTTCTGGAGTCGCTGAGGGAGCATCTGTTCCACGCCTCTCTCTTAGTTCCTGGTGATGGCTGGTAATCCTTGGTGTTCTTTGGCTTTGTGGATGCATCATCTCCGTCTCTGTCTTCACATGGTGTTCTCCCCCTGTGTCTGTGTGTCCAAATGTCCCTCTACTTATGAAGACATCAGTCTCGTGATGAGCACCCAATCTCCATGGTGGTATCGTAATTCAGTTACATCTGCAAAGACCGTATTTCCAAATAAACTCATATTCACAGGTTCCAGAGTTGAAGACTTGACCTTATCTTTTTTGGTGGACAAATTCAACTCACTGGAAAATGATTTCTTTCCCTTAGGACTATGACAAAATGCAAAACTTGAGAGCAGTGAACCATGTGGGAACACATGGAAACATGTACTAAAGAGACTAAAGATTCAGAAAACACTACATCTTCTTTCCTCTCACCCGCATCCTAACACAGGGCAAAAATGTTGTGTTTCATCCAAACGTGATGCTCAGTTTGAATTGATTTCAAATGATATTCTCACTAGAAATTATTGTGTTAAATAAATGGTGTGTCTTTTCCTGGAAATACATTGCTGATTTAAGTGTGTAGTTTTCAGTACATTTTAAGATTAAAAAATGTTGTGACTCCAAAAAAAAGTATTATTTTGAGAAAAGTGAGCTGTTATGGTGAAAACTGGTCAACAGTCATAATGTGCAATTAATCTGTCTTGAGATTCAAGAGTAATTAAGCTGTAATCCAAATGCATCATACATTTTCATGATGATGTACTAAAAGCAGTATTTCCAATGTACGGCACTGAGTAGGCCCTTAAACATTCTTAAATATTCCTATAGTGTAAATTTTTCTGTAAAAATGGAGGTAAAGAAAAAAAAAAAAGACTGTTGCAGTGTGGAGGCTGCAGGTTCATTTTCTAAGTAAGTCGCATACCAGCTGTGATGGGTTGAATTGTGTTCCCTCACAGTGTATGCTGAGGTTCTAGCCTCCAGTACCTCTGAATGTGATCTTATTTGGAAATAGAACCTCTGCAGATGTAGTTGTCTAATTCAAGATGAAGTCACTAGGGCCTTAATCCAGTATGACTGGTTTTCTTATAAACAGAGAAAATTTGCATAGAGTCAGACATTACGTGACGATAAAGGCAAAACACCACGTGTGGATGAAGGCTGAGATCAGGCTGAGGCATCTATAAACTAAGGAACACCAAAGCTTGGCAGAAAACCACCAGAGTCTAGGAGAGACGCATGGAACAGACTGTCTCTCACAGCCAATTCTGTCAATACCTTGATCTTGGACTTCCGGATGCCAGATCTGTGAGACAATAAATTTCTATTGTTTAAGCTACCTAGTGTGTGGTCCTTTGCTATGATATCCCTAGATAATGAATACACTTCTCTGTGTAAGAAAACTTTATGCCTCTGGGTGTGAAGGGGGCTAAAACTGACATAACGTGAAAATTTACAGTTATTTGTTACATGCCATGGGCCTTCAAGGCTAGTCTTGAACAATGGAAACCTCAAACATTGAATGCCAGGGCTCTGTATCCTATCCCGGAGCTTCCCAGTACAGCTGTGTCTGGACTTCTCCAGTAGAGTGAGGTCTAAATACTGCTCCATCAACAGTGAGAGATAAACTCAGGCTCCTATAACAAGCGTGGTCAGTGAGTGACGTTTTGTTTCTTCTCTTTCACTCTGGGTGACGAACTCCAAAGAAGAGTCTGAGAGGGCACTGAAATGTAACACAGATGTGGCAGTAGCTCTTCGCTACCAGTATCATACCCATTTTTCACTCCTCCTTTTGTAAGAGAGGATGGGGGAGGCAGTATACCCAGCTAAAACGTATTTCTCAGCCTCACTTGCTCAAAGGATGGTCAGTAAGATGTAAGCATATCCCGTAAACAAAATGTAATAAACAGTTGGATGAGACCTCTGGAAAAGTTTATTGAGCTGACAAGTGCCCTTTCTTTTCTTCTTTCCCAAAACCTTCCTGTGAGGTCTTGTGGTCCAGAAGCTATTTTGGACCATGAATAGAAGTCTAAGAAATTCACCCCAGAATCCTTGGCACTCTTGTGCTATTGAACAGCTATCAATAACTGCCTATCTCTATACTTTTTATTGGTTGACAAAAATAAAATCATATATATTTAAATCACTCGAGTCAGCACTGGTACCCAAGTGCTATTCGTACCTGATATAAAAACTTACCCACGTAGTAGGCACTCCTTTGGCTTCCAAGTTTCCAGGTAGCTTAATCTGAACTTGTCGTACTTTACAATGCAGATTAACACACTCACATTCTTCATTTTTGTCCTTGAAATAAAATGTTTGCCCATGAGAACATTACTGTACATTTTAGGGAACATAATTCTAATGAAATCCCAATGAATATTTTTATTTTGAGGATTATTCTTATTTTATCAGGCAACAACTTGAGAAATAAAGACAGTAACACCCTCCAATAACTTTTGAATTACTTTAAATATTTTTTATTATTCAGAACAAGTAATAATTTTTCAACATCCAAAAAAGGGTGAAATCTGTTTGATGTGAGTTTAAGAGAGTTTTAAATTTATATGAAGGTGATGATGCTTATTTACTGATTCACTGAAACCTCTCAAAGTAGCTTCATTAGCAGAGGAGTAGAAAAAAGTGGAAACTTAAAAAGGCTGAACTTGTCGGACCCTTTATTTTCTGGGTGTATTAGCCAAGGAATGTCTAGAGCATGATTCTAAGAAGAGCACAGGTAGTTGTAATGTGGAAAATACTTAAAAAATATACGACAGAACCACTTACCTGGGGACCTACCAGGTGGGTTTGTTTTGTTCATGTTCTAAGAATAAAAGAATAAATGGAAGCCATTCTTTGCTTCTAATAATTTGTCTCCTTTCTCCGTTCAAAGAAAATAGAGGACAAAGAAGGCTATCACCTGAATTCCTTCTAAATTAGGCTATAGCATTGCCCAAGGTTAAGCTTATATAATCTTTAACACCATAAAGTTAAAAGTATACCTTTTAAAAGATAAGATACCTTTTAAAAAAATAAGAAAGTGAGGTTTTAAGAGACTCCCCCATGCTTTCGTAGTTACATAAGCTTATAAAAAATCTATACTTTTTTTTAAAAGCAACTTCCTTCTTAAAATTGTATTATTTCACTTAAGAAGTCTTGGCTCAATTCAGTTACTTGGCATCCTTTGAGGGGCTCATCTTCCATGTGAAAAAACATAAGCTGCCCATGACGACCAAGTACCTGAGATGCTTCAGATGGTTTGCTTTTTCCTGGTTACAATAGACTCAGCCAAACTGTGTTAGTCAAGGGCACAAGTCAAAGTATTTTTAATTGATAATCATTCCAGAAACGTCAGCCACCAAAACCTTTTAGGATAGGTCTTCCCAGGCCTGTAAGTCACTGACAATTTTAAGCAACAACAGACTTCACTTAAGAAATATCCTATAGTTCTTAGCTAAAGGAGCACAAGCCCTAAGTGGTCCCAGCATTCTCATCTTTCTTCCTCCCAGCTGTAGACTTTCAGTTCAGGACTTCTGACTCTGCTGCTGTTGTGAGTGCTTTTTCTTCCCTTCCGGTCACTACTCTCTTTATCTTTTTTATTTTCATAGCTATTATCCTTCCAAATCCTGTTTCTGAATGAAAACATTTTTGAGTTCTCTGACATTTACCTTGATACTTAAGTGTAGTATCTCAAATGTGGATTGGTATCTGAGAGTATAAAGGAATTCCATGATGATTATCTTATTTCTGTTAAGGGAAGTCAGGTAGGGAGAATTGTAAATACAAATTCAGGCACTGAGGCTCAGAAGAGCTATTTATAACTCAGCCAGAATCACATTCATACTAAGTGACAGAGCCAAGACTAGAATCAAGTCTTCGGTTTCCTAGCCCACTTCTTCATTCGCTTTGCTGTATTTCTACACTTGCTTTTGAAATGGGTACTTTTGTCTCGTAGACTAGGGAGGTGACTGAAGTGACTCACGGGAGACAGAATTCTCTCCCGGTCAGACATGTCTCCAAACTGAATTATTAATCGTGGTGAAAATTTAAGAAGCTACTAAGGTATAGAAAATGTCAGTATGAAATAAACAGTTTACATTATGTTACTCTTGACAATTAGGTCATTTACCAAAACTATAATATTAAGTGCTATTTAGTGTGAATCTAACACAAAGCCATTCTTAAAACCTTAACGACAAATGTTTCCAGAGGTATCCTTTGCCTGAACTATGTGGCTACCGTAGGGAATCTTCTGAATCCAGGTACAGGATGTCATAACAATGTCTGCTTGGATCAGAGGGCTTTTGCTGCTAGATTTACAGGACATTTGGCTTGAATCCTTTGTTCCTCTATCTCATCGGCTATTTCTAAGGAGACCTGTATTGCCACAGTCTTGGAAAATGGTCTTCAGGGTTAGCAAAGGATGAAGAATGGTGGCAAAAATCCAGTTTTTCTCTTCTGTTCTTCCAGTCCTTTTTAATTTTAGCTCAATCTGTAGCCACAAGAATCAGCCGAGCACAACTATAAAAATAAGAAGCATACCCAGAGCCTAAAGAAAATAAAACAAACTTTGTAGGTGAGGGTATGAGTAGCTGCAAGCTTAAAAATCATGTATATCTGTATTTTATCTTAATTATTTTTCTATTTTTCTTAGCCATCTTTGTGGGAGGAATATTCTAAATTTATATAGTAGAGAAAAAAATGTTAAATCTTCTCCCACATTAAGAAGTAGTTTGCTAAATCAATATCCATTCAATAAGTACTTATTGAGAACTTGTTCTGAGAGACACTGTGATATGTACTGGGAATATAATACGAACCAGGGAAGTGTTTTCTTGCCTTCAGGAAGCTTACAGTCTGATGAAAATGGACAAAAGGAAAAATAAAAATTAAAGGTAAGTGCTACAACCATGAGAATGTAGAATCTATGAGAAAATTTAGAACATTCCCATGAGCATATTAAGATTAAATATAATCCACTCTGTATCTGGTTTAACTCAATTCAAACTTTGTTCTGCTTTTAAGGAATGATAAAGAAATTTTTAAAAAGGTGATATTATTATAAGAATAACCTTGAGCTTGCTGTAATGTAGAAGAAAATGAGGATCATTCTTACACTTTAATTCATTAAGAAGTTTTTGTATTATATTAATTGCAATACAATGTATAGTAATACTGTGTTTGTGATGTCATCTTCCTAAATATGAAGAGATTATTTTGAACATTAGTTTAGACTAAAATCAAAAGACATGCTTTTCAATGCTAATAAATTTTATTTTATGATAGAAGACTCTATCTTCCTTGGTTTGTTGGGTGCACTGAAGGGTGTAATTCCGTGAGAAAATAAAACCAACCAAAATCCATTAATATGGTAGGAGATAGGAAGCTACAGCTAATGTCCATCTGTATTAAAAGTAATAAAGAAATGATATTATCCTATAAGGTGGTCATTGGTTTAGTGTGGTCATATAATATATATCACATTTCCAAATTGCTCACCTAAATTCACTGCTATGAAGCTACATGTGATAGCCTGATACTGATTTTAACAATCAAAAGTAATAATGAAATAGAGCACACTACAAATTACTTTTCATAACTCTTCAAATTTACATAGTGTTTCTGTGGGATGTAACCAAGAAACCTTGCCTAGATTCTGTACTGATTCCACAGTGTCATTCCAGGGAAACAATTTCTTGTTATGGTAGAATCCCTAAACCTCCACTGCGAAAATCTTAGCTCTGAGCTGATGACTTGAAAAACCACCACCACCACCACCAAACTGAATGAACAGGAACATTTATTTCTGTTTATGTATCTGATCTGTACTCCTAACATATCGTTTAGAAAATACATCCCATGGGAATTTTATTTCAGTCATCCAGACAGCCCAGTGGGGCCAGATGATAATAGACGCTCAAAGATTAGCTACTTGGATTTTGAAGGTTTATCACAATTTGAAGTATCTTTAAATTTCAATGGTAAGGGTTAAGTCTATTCAACTTTAATCTTTGAGTCAGACCAGAGTTATCGTGATACCAATTTAATAAATAAACAACTTACTGAAGGCGTATTTCTTGTCTTTCTAACATAGTACCTATCCACTAGATCATTAATGCAAATTTAACTACAGAGGATCCATAGAACTGACAGGGATCACCACGGTCCTCTAGATCATAGAAATGTTTTACATCATGTACATCAAACCAGAATAAATACCTTCTAACTTCTCCATGTAGTCATGTCTCCTCAAGGGCCGCCAGTCCTGACTACTGCTACAGCGATAGCCAAGCCTTTTCTAGAACAGACAGTACACACACACACACACACACACACACACACACACACACACAGTTTTTTTAATGTTGACAGTTCCCAAGAGAGTAGTTGTCAACTGTCCAGGGAGTGTATCAATGTGGGCCAAACCACAGAGAAATATTCTTATCTACTGTATATTTATTTTACTATTTGCCGTATCATAAATATAATCCAAATTTCCCTTTCTTCATGAAATGTTAATATATGTGTTCTGATCTAAAGCCAGAATTTTTGTCATATCAGTGCTTTTAAAAGAATAGCAGCATTTTAAAATTTTGTATTATATCCTGATGTTTTGACTCAATACATTTGGAAAATCTACATTTATATAACTGGCTTCAAATAATATTTAAATTATACATAATATTCCAGAATAGAAAAACATTCTTATTCTTTGAATACATTTTAAAAGAAAATATTCTAATTCTTCAATTAAGTAATATACTTTCTGTGAATATTTTCATTTGGTATATGGTATATAGAAAATGCTTGAAAAATATTTTTGCATTTATTGAAAGAACAAATGAAGTATATAATTATGTATATATACTTCTAATCATATTAGCATATTGTTAACTGTGATATTCCAAACATTCATATATCCAGTCCAATATAAAACCCTTCTCCACTAATCCACTTAAAACATCCACTTTCAAAATAATAAAAAACAAAGAATATTTATTTTTAAAAATATCTTGCTGTCTTCCATTATGAAAAGTAATAGTTGCTAATTAAAATGTAACTTTCTAAATAATTCGTAGCTCAAGTGATTTGAGCACACATACTTGCTTTCCTTTCCTGTGGCACCCCACTTAAAATGACAGTAACAGCCACATAACAACAATGAAGAAGACACTCATAAACAGTGAAAGAAATGGAAGGCAGATTACCAAGAACAACAAAAAGCAGATAAGGAGAATTTTTTCTGGCAGTTGGGTAGCCGAGATAACCTAACATCACTTGCCCTGAAAACAAGAAAAAATGCTGGATACAATGTATACAGCATCAGTTGTATTTGTGGGTGTGTTATAAAGAAATTAGGATTATTTGAGGCAAAAATGTATGCCTTCTACAATCTCCTCCTCTCCCACCTCCACACCACCCCTCAACTTCTACCACTACTTACACCCTTTCTGCTAATGGTAAAAAGAAAAATTATCTGTCTTGAAACTCAGTGCTAGCAGAGAAAAAAAATTAACTCTCCTAAGAATTCATAAATACAAACAGTTTCTCAATGAGTTTTACACATCAATGCTATGCTAGCTGGAATGCCTAAAGAATTTTAAGTCATGAGTTTATTTCTAAGTGTTCCCAGGTTAGTAGTAAATATAGGCACTGGGAGAAACAACTCCATATCTTGTCTGAGGGTCACCAATCTTAAGCCAAGGCCTTAGGGAAGTAGCAGATAAACTTTCAAGAAATAAGAACTCATCCTCAAAAATCATCAGACATGTAGGAAATCAAGCACCATGAAGGAGAACCAGCAGAATTAACAAACAGCAGAGCCAGACAAAAATAGGAATAAAGAAGGGCAACAAATAGAAAACAGTAATGAACATGGTAGATATTAATCCAGTTACATCAATAATCACTTTGAATGCAACAATTAAAGACAGATTTTCAGAGTGGATCAAAAAGCAAGATCCAACTATATGCTGCCTACAAGAAAACCCTTTTAATATGAATATGAATATAGATGAAAAGTAAACATATGGAGAAAAGTATATCATACTAACATTAATCAAAGGAAAGCAAGAGTAGCTATACTAATTTCAGACAGCAGAACTCAACAATGCCATCAATCAACTGGATATAATTGACATCTATAGACTATTTCATCCAACAACAGAATACACATTCTTCTCAAGCTCATATGGAACATTCAGCAAGATAGATGACATTCTGGGCCATAGAGTAAACCTTAACAAATTAAAAAAGACAAAAATCATACAATGTCTGCTCCTAGACCACAATGGAGTTAAGCTAGAAATCAGTAACAGATATTTGGGAGACAGATTGTATTTGAGAAATACCCAAAATACATGGAGATTACACAACACAGTTCTGAATAACACAGGGGTCAAAGAATAAATCTCAGGAGAAATTTTAAAATATTTTGAACAAAATGAAATAAAAATACAACTTCTCAAAATGTGTGGGTTGAAGGAAAAAGTAGTGCTTGGAGGAAAATTTATAGCATCAAATGCCTGCATTAGAAAAGGAGATCATCTAAAGTTTCCAAATTAGAAGACCAGAAAAAAAAAGAGCAAAATAAATCCAAAGTAAGCAGAAGAAATAATAAGAATTAGAGCAGAAATCAATAATTTAGAAATAGGAAATCAGTAGAGAATACTCATGAAACTAAAAGCTGTTTCCTTGAAAACATTAATAAAATTGATAAGCCTCTATCCAGACTAAGAATAAAAGAGAGAGGACACATTTTACCATTATCAGAAATCAAAGAGGGAGCATTACAGATTCCATGGACATTAAAAGGATAGTAAAGGAATACTACGGCCAACCCTATTCCCACAAAATTTGAAAAACTGGATGAAATGCACCAATATTTGAAAGACACAATTTGCCAAAATTCACACAGGGAGAAATAGACAATCCGAATAGATTTCCATCTGTTAAAAAAAATTGAATCAATAATTAATGACCCTCAAAAACAAAGCACTTGTCCCAGATGGGTTCACTGGCAAATTCTACCAAATACTGAAAGAGGAAATTATACCAATTCTCCACAATGTCTTTCAGAGGATAAAAGCAAAGGAAACACTTGCTAACTCGTTTTATGAGGCTAGCATTACCTTAATACCAAAATGAGACAAAATTACTGTAAGAGACAAAAACTGAAGACCAATATTTCTCATGAACAAAAATCCTCAACAAAATTTATCAATTTGAATCCAAAAATTTATAAAACGAATTATATACCACAACCAGATGGGATTTATCCCAGGTATGCAAGGCTGGTTCAACATCTGAAAATCAATTAATATAATCCATCACAGCAACAGACCAAAAAAGAAAAATCACATGATCGTATCAATACATGAGTGAAAGTCATTTCACAAACATTATTAACACCCACTCATGATAAAAACTCTCAGTAAGCTAGAAATAAAGGGTGTGGACATCCTCATCATCAAGTTATCTACAAAAAAACAAAACAAAAAAAACCTACAGCTAGTATCATACTTAATGGTGAGAAACTCCAGGTCTTCC